TGTAAATGACAACCCCAAATAGAAAAGTCCTTAAAAATATTTCAGTTGTAGTTGCAAAGAGACTTGACCTAGAGAGGGATGGGCAACGATGTGTTTACATTATATATGTGAGTTTAGTGTGTATAATTATTTTGTATTTATAAATACACACACATGCATGTATATATTTAAGAAAAATTAGTTATTAACATATATTTATATTTATATATAAATTATGTATTCGTATGTATACGTAAGTATATATACATGCAAATATTTCTTAATATATACATATTTATGCATATGCATGTATTTTTTATAAACAAAGTAATTGTACACACTACACACACATATATTAATGTAAACACAAACTTTTGGATGTGATTAATCGTGATTAATCGTTGCCCATCCCATAGATAATCTGATCACATAGACACAGCAATTAACTTCATTCTGGAATTTCCCTGACTTGGGGACACTTTTGCTCTAAATAATGTGAGCTTTTCTACTTTTATATGGCCATTTATTTAACAACATTTCTGAAATCACCAATTATTTAATTTGGAGCAATTTCTTTTATATTAAATAGATATTTGTATGAAACATTTAGTTAAATTATAGATTGGTTGGAGAAAAATGTATAGTATTTATTTTTGGCTAAGTGTAATTTTCCAAACACTGAATAGCAAATGTTCACCAGTTGTTCCTTTAGACTCGTATGTGAAACTCAGGTTGGAATATTTTGTCTTTCCCCATAATATTAGAGTTTTACTTATTATTTATTTTCCCCAAAATAGGTTTTTATAATTCTGCATGTTTTGTCAGTAACTAAAAATGATCAAAGTTGACTGCTACCCTTTTCCCACCCAACAACTGGTGATACTAAATTCCATGAGAGAAATAGAGACTTTAAACTGGTTAATGGTGTCTCAAACACATGCAAACACATCAGATCTGAGATTTTCTTCCAGTTGTTTTCCAAATTATTATTAGTTCAACTTACGTACATTGGACTTTAAGCTTTGTATATACCTTGGATACCGGTAATTAATTAGTTTTGTTCTGAAATCATGATGAATTTGACTTTTCTGAGGAGGAAGAATCAGTTCAGTCTCAGTTCAAAGACTCGACCCATTTAAAGCTTTACTTCTAAACTTAACAACAGTTTCCCCACGACAGCTTCAGCTGTGGGCTATTAAAAGCACTCAAACCCTGCAGTGTGTGTTTAGAGCTGAGCAAGTGAGCTGACGATCCCGATTCATTTAATCCTAAAGGACACGTTTAAAGACTCGTTTCAGTGGTAAGTGATGAAGAACAATATGAGCTCTGTCTAGTTGTGTTGACTGTGTCCTGTTGTGCTCTTTTGATAAAACATATTACCTCAGTGTTGTTAATAATGACCAAAAATATTGTCAAAACCAAATGATTTTTATTTTGTTGTTGTTTCTTAGTCAGTCCTGCAGTAATACAAATGTAGGCTGGGAATTCTTGGCTAATTCTGGAATATATTTAGAGCTTTTCTTCACACAGAGCTTCCATGACAGACTTTAGAGAGTTTCACTTTGTGACTTGGCTATTGTTTAATATAAAGTAATATATAGACTGTCACAAATATCTGTGCTTTTTCAGCAATATATAAATAAACTACTCTTATTTTAAGCCAAAATATAATAGAACTATTACTACATTACTGACCAACAAAGGCAAAATGCAGTAAATTCAAATATAATCTGGTTTCATAGATTATACTTTGTCCTGTTATAGACATGGTTGTCTAAAATACACTGTAAAAAATTTGGAGTAGGATTTACTTTAAAATCTTGCTAAACGATCTCACTCAGAAAATGCTAGTAAATTTACAAAGATTTGCCAAGTAAAAACCGAAACATATTTATCAGTAGCTTTAATTAGAAATCTTTAAGTTAAATTTACTTGGAATGTGGAATTAAGTAAACTTTACAAAAAATAAGTAATTTTAACTCGGCTTGTAAAAGGTTGATTAATACCGATTTCCTTTGCCTTTGTATTACACTTCACTAAAACAATTATCTTGAATTTTATTAGTCATTTATAGTATGTTCTTTACTTAGATCATCTAAGTAATTTATATATACATCATGTCAGACTTTAAGCCTTATGTGAATGCAAACACCTCAATACTTGGTAGACAATACACAATGGTGGTAATATTTGATGGATCGTTTTTGTGTTTGAATGTGTCGTTTTAAGCAAAAAATTTTCTTGAAATGTCACAAAATGGCAATTTACTAATACTGAAAACAAAAATCAATGATAAAACAGTGTAAATACAGCTGGAAACCAGTGAAAAATGAACCTCATTAATTATTTAAGGTCCAGTGCATGATGGGAACCCCAGTATCAGAAAAGTTGAGTAATTTTTACTTAATTTTATTGAGTTGATATTACACTTTCATTTATACTCGCTTGAAATAAGTACTGATATGGAATTTACTTAGTTTTTTAAATTCTTGCCTGAACTAACTTTTTCAAGTAAATTACATTGGGTTTTTTCACTAGTATTTACTTAACCAAAAAATCATTTTTTACAGTGTAAGATTCAGAGAGTTTGAAATAAAATTTAAGTCAATCCATAACTTTATAAATGGCTATAATTCTTATTAATGTATATTATTTTTCTTTTATTTAAGGTCTAACATTACTGAAACACCATGGGTATAAGTGATATTATGGTAAGAAATTATGTTTTATTTTATAAAGCATTAAAGCAAATGTATAAGACCTGAATGACTTTCTTTCTTATTGTTTTTCCAAAGTGACATAAGAGTGAGTTGTAAAATTTAAATGGAAAGTATTTGATGAAATATTTGAATATTTACAGGTACATTGGCAAATCTAAGGACAGTTTGAGAGATTGCTGAGATTTTATCTGAAATTCTTTTATGAGATTACTGGGGTCTTTTTCTCAAGAGAAACCTCTGAGAAATAAAAACATGTTAAGCATGTTAATCCAGAATGCATGTCAAATGGACTGTCTATTGGTAGTGTTTTTGACCTTTTTGGAGCTTTTGAGATCCTGGTTGCAGTGAAATTACAGGACATTCTTCAAAACAGTCATCGAAACTGTATAATATTATATTTTTTGCAGAAAAGGTTTGAAATTACGTTAGACTGAGCAAATGTTAAAATATTTCTTATTTTGATGGAATAATTCTTCGTTGTTTTAATGTCTCTTTCAGAGGCTGGATGTGACCTCGGTTTGGCCTGTGCTCTCAGTGGTGGTCGCAGCTGGTGTCTTTTATCTCTACAGTCTGATACTCAGGCATTTAGCCAAGACAACTGTGAGGAACAAAGTGGTGCTGATTACGGATTCACTCTCAACACTCGGAAATGGTGCTATACTTTTTCAGAACAACTGGATCATTCCTGGCATGCAGTACCTTAAAACGAATATGTCTCTATGTAATTTAAGGAAGTAGTTCTATAAAAGGGTAAATCAGAAATGTGTAATATAGAAATATGATCTCAACTTTATTACTTATAATTTGGCATGACAATTTAGCAGGATAAAAACAGAGAGCTAAGTTAGCCATTGCTCATTGAGGGATTGAGAGTTTAAAACTCAATCCTCAAAAAACTCTCAAAATTGATAGATTGATAACTGGGAGAGCAAAACAAACAACAAAGTGATAATTGAAAACTCATATATACAATTTGTAATTTTAGTATATTGTGACATATTGAGGATAAGAAAATGTACTGCATGTTAGGAATGATAGAGTGATGAACCATAGATGATATACGTGTGCCGATGAATTGAATATTGATTGGTTGAACAGTTTTTATTTTCAGAATGTGCAAAACTCTTCCATACTGGTGGAGCCAGACTGATCCTTTGTGGAAATAACTGGGAAAAGTTGGAGACTTTTGCTGAGCATCTGATGAGTGAATCAGATCCAGCACTTGTGAGTGCAGAATTATCATTAACAATATGACAGAATTCTATATTTGTTAAAGTTGTGGTTGTAATTTGCGCTGTGACTTCAATTCTAACTTTCCTGCTTAGACGTTTCCACCCAAACTGGTGGAGCTGGACTTCAGTAACATGGAGAGCGTTCCTGAGATCATCTCTGAGATCCTGGAGTGTTACGGCTGTCTAGATGTCCTCGTATTCAACACCAGCATGAAGGTGAAGGCTCCTGTACACAGTCTGTCCCTCCAGATGGACAGGATTGTCATGGACGTCAACTACTTTGGGCCCATCACACTGGTTAAGGGTAACATGTAACTCCCACACAGCGGTCAACAATAACTCTCAGTCGTGTTCAAGCGTTTTAAACTGATCTTATTCACGGTCACAGGCGTCCTTCAGTCGCTGATCTCCAGAAGAACGGGTCACATTCTTCTAGTCAACAGCATTCAGGGGAAACTGACCGTCCCCTTCCGCGCCACCTGTGAGTTTTAAAGGGATCAATTCGGTCATCATTTACTCACATTCATCTCGCTCCAAACATGCATGCTGTTATTTTCGTAAGTTTGAAGAATGATCATGCAGCTCTTTTCCAGCTTAAAGATCATTAAAATAAACTGCTCTACGGAAAACACAACAGCATATGGGTTTGAAATTACATGAGGAGTTTTACTTTTGGGTGAACTATAACTTTAATGTTCATTCAGTTAATCAGCAGCAATAAATCAATGCATATGTTCAGTGTAAGACGTTCTGCATTACTCAGATGCTGCGTCCAAGCATGCCGTTCAGGCTTTCTTTGAGTGTCTGCGGGCTGAGGTTCAGGAATATGGGATAACCGTCAGCACCGTCAACCACACCTTCATAAAAACTCCAGACACAAACTCAAAGGACGAGGACGCAGCGAAAGCCATGTGGACACGTGAGTGAACGTCTCCGTCAGTTCATAGTGTAAAGATCACGGTTTGTAGCTCATAACTTCTTCCTTGTGTGTTTGTATTGTCCACTATATTCCCCTGGACCTCCTGCTTGGACACTGACTGGAAACTGCAGACCTCAAAGTGAAGTCCGGTGGTGTGAACGCTGAAGAAATGGCCACTGAGATCCTGAAGACTCTGAGTAGCAAGAAGAAGGAGATTTTAATGTCCCATTCCTTCATCCCTAAAGCAGCGCTCTATGCCAGATCTCTCTTCCCAAACCTGTTCTTCTCCATCATGGCAGCAGGAGTCAGAAACACTGCAGCGGTGGAGATGTCTGAGGATTGAAGGAAAACACTGTGTAAAAGTGGAGAATGTGTCACTGTGCTACAATTAGAAGAGAATTCAATAAATAAATCAGCAAGATTATGTCTGTCTGTCTGTCTGTCTGTCTGTCTGTCTGTCTGTCTATCTATCTATCTATCTATCTATCTATCTATCTATCTATCTATCTATCTATCTATCTATCTATCTATCTATCTATCTATCTATCTATCATGTGAGAGAGAAATAAACAATAAACATGATCACAGCGCCCTCTGCTGTTGTTATTGTTGAAATACAGTGTTTGGTGACGTCACATCATGGCGCGACACTTACTGTCTGTAAACTTCATGTTTCGGTTCACTCGAGGATATAAGAACAGTCAGCGACTGCTTAAACACACATGTTGTGGATCCGACGCCTCGAATCTGTGTGTGACTCACGACAGACTGAATCAGCGTTTCACAATCACTCTCGACTGCGACGGTAAGAGAAAATAACGTTATTCATTCGGTCTCAAACCATCAAAACAGCAGATTCAGTCGCGCTGATGTCCCCTAGATAGGCAGCACTCTAGGTCATAGCTGAACATTGAACATTGAAAATAAGGGAGTTTTCCCGGAATCCATCCCCAAAATAAGGGATTTTTTTTTTGTTGCACAATTCTTACCCACAAACTTTAAAATAAAGCACTAATCCTTAAAAGTCTAAAGAGTTCATAACTAACGTAAGCCTATGTGTGAGAGAGAAAGAGACAGTGTCATTTAAAGAAAAAAAAAAATCTACATTTGGATTAGCCGTGTGTTGCTCTTGCATTTGGACAACAATTTCTACTGTTAGCCTATCACACATCTTCTAAAATCCGCAAAATAGGGAAGTGGGCTGTCTGTTTTTTTTAATTACATTTACACATTTTGTGTAGCTTTAAAGAGCCTATTTAGCCTGATGGTGGACCATCACTCAGAAGACACACTATCCTATCTTTATATCCTCCTGAGGCCCAGAACGGGTTTTTTTTTCTAGTTTTTTTTCTTCTTCGTGTAATCACATTGTTAAGAGCATATGAAACAAATGAAAAAATAAAATATATTTTATTCATATATTTGAAAATCGATTTATAATAATTATTATTTGTTTAAATTACATTGATATCTGAATTTATGTAAAAACCTAGACTTTCAAACATCAAAATGTAATTTATTAATATGTATTCGAGTACAAAATGACATACAGCTAGCCTAAACATAGTTTCCTATTTTTTATTTATTTTTTTTATTTATTTTTTTGCCTGGAAACGCAAAGAAATTCCAGGCAAAAAACACGCTTGCCTGTCGCGTGAAAAATAGCCGTCAGTTCTATTTCTAGCATGCACGCGTTTTCTGGAGACGCGCGTGTCACGCAGGCAGCGTGCAAGCTCTAATCTGTTCTTCTTCTTCTTTGGAGTTTATCGGCAGTTTGCATCCATAAATGTTGCACTACCGCCATCTTCCGGATTTTTTTCCTATCATGTCCAGTTACATCATATTCTTTTCATCATACCTATTCTTGATAAATATAAAAAAATACTTCTTCTTCTTTGTTCATTCTCCCCATTTTCCAGTATTTCCTTCATTCCTATCCCTATTGTTCCAACTATTCCTAACTCTTCCATCATACTTTTCCTCTGCTCTTCATATACATAGTTCCCACATGACGTCACAACATACGGGCATTTGCCGACCCGGCGCCATTGCTTAGGGCAAAACATAAGAAGAAGCAATACGAGTTGAACGAAGTGAAATGAGTTTCGTGCTATAAAGTGAAAATGGTCATCTCCTGCTGAGTCAATGGATGATAAAATCGTGCCGGAGGTTCAGTTAAATCGGGATTTTACACTATACCCGTCATTAGACTCCATATGGATGTGAGAAGACTAAGCTTTTGTCCGAACAACGACGGAGATTATGGCTGGCGAGCATAAACAGGAAAGAAACTCACTCAAAACACGCAAGAATTTGTTTGACAAAAGCACAATGTTGTGTTTTATTGCGAGTGTAAATAAATATAAGTTAACACGTTGCAGTTTGAATAATGTCCTGTATGAACAAAATGACGAGGTATTAAAAACATACAAAACAACATTGTTTCCACTGTTTGATCTCACATTCCAGCATTGCAATCTCAGATTATGTCCCTAAAGATCCCGCGTATAATGTAGTTCCTCATTTATTACATTAATTAAATTGCACGCGAGTTATTTATTTTAATATTCATGCACCGAACCATGACGCCCGCAAGTACATGCATATTACAGAAATCACCGGTGACTGGGGAACATAGGAATTAGTTGTGCAGGCTATGGCTTTTTAATAGACAGATTAGCATCATGCTACTTTGCTATGATGACTTAAGTTACTTTTCTTATTGATTGCACTTGAGCAAACGTCACCAAACCAACCCCACGTCAATCTGATCGTACACCTCCAGTGATTTCCAGGCTTGGAATTGCTCACATGTGTAAAAACTCCTCACCAATACCAGATAATTGTACACATGAAAATACTGTATCTGAGGCAAAGTTGCATAATCGGTGCTCAGTGCTTCTTTTGTTGCATAAGGATACACACCATTTATGAATGAAATTTTCGCATTGTACCTCTCTATGTCTTGTTTTAATAGTCTCTTTATAATCTATTACACTTTGTCTTTTCATGATTTGCATAACAATATAAACAGACATAAATATTTGTTTGTAAAACGACATTCTCTGATAAAACGTTGTAAACGCCTATGGTAAACACAGCGGTTTTGCCCTCAAAGATGGCGTCTCCGGGGAGGTCACGTGACAATTTTTTTGCCTGTGGGAACTATGTATTGTCTGCACCTCAAAAACACATGCTCTATTGTTTCAGTAACCTGACCACAACCACAAAATCCAGTTGGGTGCTTCCCTATAATGTGTAGTGTTCCATTCAAATTACTGTGACCTATCCTTAATCTGGTCATAACTATTTCTTCTTTTCTATTCCCTCCCTTATTCTTCACCACCCCAACTTTACTTTGTATAGCATATAAATGTCTCCCTTTAATTTCCATATCCCACTGATGTTGCCATTCTCCAATGGCTTCCTTCCATATTATACTCTTTCCTTCAGATTTTGATAACTTAATATTTTCTTCAATATTCTCTCTTTTCACAGCTTGTTTGGCTAACTTATCCACTCTCTCATTACCCGCAATGCCAATATGAGCAGGAATCCAAATCAATTGAATCTCACATCCTTTTTCCCTTATTCTTGTGTATATTATCAGTATTGAATACAGTAAATCCTGATGACTATTAGATATTCCAACCATGAGACTGTATAAGGCTGACACTGAATCACTTCCAATTAAAGCTTTTTTAATTTTGTTTTCCTCAATCCATTCTAGCGCCATCTTAATAGCATATAATTCAACTGCATACACACTCAAATCATTTGTGGTTCGTCTGGCTATCTCACCTCTTTGATTAAAAATGTAAACTGCAGATCCAGTCTTTCCTGTTTCTGGGTCCTTTGATCCGTCTGTATAAATCTGAATATACTCTTTATATTTAATATCTATATGTCTATAAAATTCCGCTACCAGATCTGTACTATTACTTACTATTTTAACTTGAAGTATTTTAAAATCAACTTCCATGGTTTCTAGCTTCCATATCGGTGTATCAGGCCATATTACAGTTGGGCAGAATTCCTTTTCATACACTCCCAATTCTCTAGCCGCCTCATCTCCAATCCACCCAAAACTGAACTTTTGTGCTCTCTCTCTTTCCCAGTTATCTTGTACTATTATTTTAGCTGGATGGTTATCTCCATGCCCTTTTAGATTTACCCAATAATTTACAAGTAATTGTTTACGTCGGATGTTCAATGGCATTTCTCCCGCTTCCACCTGTAGAGCACATACTGGTGATGTTTTAACTGCCCCTAGACATAATCTTAATGCTTTAGCCTGTATTACATCAAGCCTCCTAAGTATAGATTTGGCTGCTGATCCATATGCCACACTTCCATAATCCATCCTTGATCTCATTAAACTTACATATATATATTTCAGTGATTTATAATCTGCTCCCCATTCTAGTCCTGTTAAACATCTCATTAAATTTATTACTTTTTTACATTTATCTTCTACATTTCTGACATGTTCTACCCATGTTAACCTTGTGTCGAAGTATACTCCTAAAAAACGGAATGCTTTAACTCTCTCTAGGTTACTTCCATATAGTTTTATACTAGTTAGGGCCCAAGCCCTGAAAGGGCGAAGGCCCTATTGTTTTCCTTGCGATTATTTTTCTTCTCTATTATTAGGGCCCAAGCCCTGAAAGGGCGAAGGCCCTATTGTTTTCCTTAGGATTATTATTATTATTAGGGCCCAAGCCCTGAAAGGGCGAAGGCCCTATTGTTTTCCTTGGGATTATTATTCTTCTTTAGTATTATTATTATTTTGCTACCTTTTGGGCACTTTTGGGGCCCTTAACGTGCTCGAAAACTCTTGAAACTTTGCACACGGGTGCCATCAGAGCCGGGCTGAAGATGGTACCCGGGCGTGGCAGGGCAGCTCGTCAGCGCCCCCTGGAACGGGGTCCGAACACTTGGTCCATAACTCAAACACGCTTGTATGTAATAATATGAAACTCGGTACACATGTTGATCTCATCGTTTCATCTATACCTCGCGCTCTTACTTTTTACCCCAGCCCAACAGGAAGTCGGCTATTGAGGTTTGTTTGTAAAACGCTCGCAATGGAATGTCAAATACTCCTCCTAGAGCTTTGATCCACATTTGACGAAACTCGGTCAGCGTGAAGTCAAGACATTGAGGATGAAAGTTTGCGAGGGGATTTTTGATATCTCGAACGGTTTGTCCGTGGCGAGGAAACGAAATCATGGCGAGAAACGTGAAACAGGAAGTGTGTTATAACTTCAGCATACATTAACTGATCTTGATGAAACTTCAGCAGTGTGCTCGCTGTAAGAGGACGATCACATGGATGTGACTATTGTGAGTCAAAGTTATAGCGCCACCAACTGGCAGCAGGAAGTGTGTCACTTTCAAAATGCTTAGATATCACCCTTTTATTTTTACCCGATTTGCTTCAAACTTCATATGTATAATGTAAACATACGGCAGATGTAGACCTGTGAATGGATTCTTGATATCTTTGAAACTGTTGCCGTGGCGACGCATCAAACTTTACCCTTCTTTTAGGATGCTTTTAGGATGCTTTTGAGACCCTTAGCATGCTTCAAATTGCATGAAACTCGACAGACACATCACATTTATTAGCCAGTAGACATGTGCAAAGTTGCAGAAACGGGCGTGGTGAGGGCTCAGTAGCGCCACCTTTTGACAAAAGTGGGGTGGTTAGTTTTAACTAGAGTTACAAAAATTGGTATGTATATTGTACTCCTCGAG